TATCGCCCAGCCCTAGAACAGCCGCTTCCTTACGATTTCAAAAACTTCTGCCTACGAGATAAATAGCTTCTTGATACCTATAAAAAATTATGGTTGAATAGTAATTTAGAGATATATCCTAAAATTAGTCGGTATGTAGGTTTACATTTAAGGGTTTATGTAAACTCTTGGATCCTTTGTGGATCACATAAAATTCCCACTTTATTCCTACTTTTTTATCCCATTCTTGTTAAAGATATCCTTAAAAAATTAATTGCTCACTTAAAGGTATTGTGGAGGCTTTTCATGAATTTTTTAAAAAGACGCTGGCACACGTCGATATACGGAAAGTACGTCGAGAAATTTTGAGCATGCACGGCCACGACCAACACAGTTCCCAGCACACATGATGCTGAATCTGCAGCGACTGCAAACCTTTTTTCTTTCTGTTTTCTTTTTTCTTTTTCTTTTTATTTATTCTGTTTTTCTGTCTTTCTGTGTAATGCCCATGAAATGATACACAAGCGTCATTACACTGCCGTGCGTTATGCATGAGTTATGCTGTCGTAGGACATAAGTTATGGACTCTTTATGAATACTCTATGTATACGCCCAAAATTGAAAACATTATAATAGAGAGCTCAGCATATGCATGTGTATTTTTTATGTTTTTTAGATACATATGCACAACCCTGTACCTGCTCCCAAGAGGGAACGCCTATTAAACGCGTGAGAGAGCATGCTTTAGCCCATTTCTCCTCGTGCACGCTATGTTTAAAAGTTGCTGTGCTCTTAGCTCATACAAGCTTACTGTGCCTGAACGTCTGCCCTAAGCCCTAAATCCCTCCATCACTATATAGAGCGGGGACTATATAGTGAACTTTATAGTGAACTTAGTTAACTGACTGTTTAGACAGATGATCACTGCTTTTTGCTCCCCATTTGCTCCACCACACGGTGCCTACGCCATCTTTGATATTAGTCGCCGCTGTCGGGTAGCAGCAGTGGGTCACTGTGACAGCGAATCACATAATGCTTTGTGAGGAGAATTCTCCGTGCAAAGCATTCTGGGACATATGTGCCTCTTCGGAGGCCTTTCTTTTATTCTAATGCACTTTGTAGACACTTTTTCTTCCTTACTTACTTATGACCCTCGGCCATTTTCAAAGAACCGCAGTGAGAAAGGTGAGCTTCAATGACTGTCTAAAACCGTAGCTCAACACAGATATACACCTGAAAGTCTGCAAAAAGATAGCTGACGGCGGGCATGTCACTTCCCGATTCCTCCCGGAAGCACGATCTGTCTAACCTGACTCTGCCAGATGGATTTGCTCCGCATATCCATCTGGAAACCTTCCATAGAAGTAATTTTGGGAGGGGTCGAAAATACTGGTTAGTTGATTGGCCTATGTTGGTGATAGACGGGCCAAATAAACCAATCAGATCAACGAAGCATATGACGTACTAACAGAGCGATGACGAAAACACAACCACAAGCCAGGCTACTCTTGCCGAAACCAGTCGGGAGAAGAGCAAAAACATCTTTTCCTCTGAGAAAAGCCTCCAGAGCAGTGTTTTGCGGAATTACAGAGTATTTCTTCACTGAAAGAAGAGCAAAACACTGCTCTGGAGGCTTTTC